CTTTCCCTCTTTGAGACCTTTAACATTTCTTTTGTTGTCTAACAATGACACAATGACATGTCCAGTTGTTTCCAGCTCCATTTATGGTACCACCTGTCATCAAAACAGTTTCAAATTCATTGTGTTATTATTTTTGTCTTTAAGTGGAACCTGAGGAAAGGAAAAAGGAGCATCTTCCAGAAGGCTTATGTCCCAGCAGACAGAAAACATCCCAAAGGAGCTCCAGCAGAGACTCCTGGAAGATCTCCAAGAGCCCAATGGCTCAGGGAACAGCAAGGAATTCCACATCTGTTAAATCCCAGGCATCTCCTTCTGCGAAATATGCTCAAATTAAAAACCGGAGCAAACAGAGTCTCCAGGCCAGAACACCCCCCGTGAAGAATCTTCATTCAGGAAGGCTTGAAGAAGAAAGAGAAGACACTTCTGCCACCAAAAACCCAATAATGATGCGTGAGCCAAGAAGGAGGAACAGCACTTATTGCCTGTCTGCAATATTGAGGCAGCAGGAGGCAGAAGACACCAAATCCATCACAAATGCCGAAGAACAAACACTGAGGTCTACAGGGCCTGGATCTTCCCAGAATACTATCAAGACTAGCTGCAATAAAGTCAAGGACACCAACAGCAAATTAAGTGCCAAAGAGTCCTTAGGATCATTAGGGCCAGATACGAAAGCAGAATGGAAGCGCCTTCCAGAGAAGAGAAACAACTTGATCCATACTGACAGCAAATATAAATCTGCCAGTGCAGATGAACTTACCAGCAACAAAGAGGTAAGAGGAAGCCGTTTCATGTATCCTTTTTGGCAGATTGAAGGTTGTTTTTATGGTGTAGCAGGGGGCTGAGTGGGTGGGATATTAGCAGTACATTATCAGTTTCTAGAAGACGTGTAGAAGGGTGGATTTGGGCTTCACACTGCAGGGCAGTGACACATTCCACAGGCAGCCTTTCCAATGTCTTTTTTAATTTTGTTTTTCCACCCCCCTTTCATTTATAAGGTTCCTGTAGCCAGGCAGAGTCCCAGCTCAGCAAGGCAAAACAATGTGGCACCAGGACCCAGTCCATGGCCCAACACCATCATCCCTTTCTAATTCCCCCCCTTTCTACCAGTCCTATTTGTCCCATGCAATTAAAATGCCTACAGAAGCTGCCGAGGGAGACTCAAGGACAAACCCAGGTCCCAGGGATTAGTCATAGCGCAAGGACCTATGCAGGGGTGGGAACACCGGGAGTTTGCTGCACTTAGGGAACATGCACTGACAGTGGTTCCTTGTTTGTGTTTTCAGGAACGACAAGCTTTGTGCGCGACAGCATTAGTCATGGGACAGAAAAGACTCAGTGACCGTACTGAAATGCTGAAAAGCTCCTTGGACTCTACACCTTTTGCTGATTACAACCATCTGGGTTTTAACCTGAGATCAAATATCTTCCAAGGTGAGAGGACACGCATACCTATGCCTGACCTTCAAAGCTGGTTCCATCTATACTTTACCTGGGCTCAGGGCAACCACACTGCTTTGGGTAGAGATCTGACTGTTGGTGACCCTCACTTTCCCCTCTTATTCATACTGTCCACAGACTTTGCTTTTCCAGGCTTGAGGAAATGAAAGCTAGAGCCTCCCTTTCTATGCATTCTATACCTTTCTTTTATCTTCTTTCACTCTTTTTTTTTCCAAGGTGTGAAAAGTGAAATTGTATCATGACCCCGTCCTCCATGTTCAGAGTTGTCCAAATTGACACAATTTGAAATTCAATGTCTGCTGTCATCTCCAGTCCCAAGTTAGGTCCAGTTCCAATACTGATGTTATTTCTCTTCAAGACCTTTAGAGATGTGGGGCTCTGAGATGTCTTCCTCAAACCTCTGTATCCAAGGTCCCCAAGAATCCTTCCATATAAATATATCACAGAATCACAGAATCACAGA